AAATATGAAAGACAAACACTAATAAATTGCTGGGGACTTTGTTCCTTCTGTGTGCGTTCGCAACGTTAAACCCATTCTCACAATCTTATCACGAAAGAAATATCTCTTCTCCCTAAAGCTGGTGAAAATTTAAAAATGTCCCACACACACAATTTTTTCTGCACAACCACCCCACAAAAAAAAACACATTTTGCTGGGCGCCTGATAAAAACAATCCACACCCTATGAGAGGAAAAAGTCCACACATATGAGGAAGAAATCTGCATATTTCTCCTTGGTGGAAAATCTCACGCAATTTTGTGCGAAAAGCCCCTCGACTTCGCCAAGAGAGAGAGAGTGAGTGCAAATTTGGTGATTTGCAAACAAATTGTGATGCTGATATTTGCGTATGATTACATCGCGGCGCGATGTAAAGAAGGGGATTTAATTTTATTGGAAACAACACACATATCAACTTAGCAAAGGATATTGACATAAAGTGCATTGCAGTAAATCAAATGGAAGAGCTTGTGAAATGAGGGTGGTTTTCTCGTGCTTTTCCGACCTTAAAAATCCGCACCAAAAATATCTCACGGACGAAATTACACCTCATAAAGAGGTTATAAAATGTAAAGCGAAAGGATTATATTGAGTTGAAACTATTTAGAATGTGCTCTCTCGCCCCCTTTTCGCGCTCACACCGCATTTTCAGAGCATAATCTAAGGCCAAATTCCAATCCATTGCGCGCCTCGGAGAGCCTTTATTGGGAATGGAGAGTGAGAAGTGTGAGCTGAAGATTTATACAACCAATTAATTCCATTTGGGTTATAATCCCTCTCTTGGAAAGAATTTACTATATAGTGTTCGGGAATGCGGAAAAAATGGCATCCCTCTTTCTCTTTCTCATCGGGCATAATTAGAACGCACAAATCTTCCCGAGTCTCTTGCGCGTTAGAGAGATGAAGAAGTAGCGACAAATTCAATTATCATAGACAGTCAAATGATATGAGATGACAAATAAATTGAATCAAATGGAGATGAAAAGGCATCGATTGAGGAAGAAATGCACACAGATTCGCATTTAATTCCATTTATATCGCATGGACAGAAAAGACAAGCACAAAGTGAGAGACAGAGCTGAAGATGGAAAAATCGGGAGTGATTCTTTGATATCTTTTCATCTGTCAACACAGATTAACTTAACCGCAACTTGTATTCTTCCTCTCCTTTTGCTCTCCCTTCAATTGTTCCAGAGCACACACAGCCACCAAAGTCACACTGGGATTTATTTGCCTTGATTAAGTACCTGAGGATTTAATGTGAACACCACAAGAGATGCGAAGAAGACAAGAAAATGATCATTCATTGAAGGTGCGAAGGAATTTTATTGAATTGAGTGAATTGTGCTTATTCAAAATTCCAATGAGAGGTGGTAAATCTCATCCTCTTGCCAATCCTTCTTCCCCTTGTCTTTTCCTCTGCACATTGACGAGTGGAGAGGAATAAAAAAAATCAATTAAGTGTCATTGAAGAGGAAAATGCTAAAGATGCATTTAAAAATCACTTCAAGAATTTGCAACATTTCACACTTTTGCAACATCGTGAAGAATCCGTGCAGAATGAAGTGCATTTCCGCACTTGCTGAAGTCTGAGTTGCAATCGTAAATAATAAGACTTTTAATAGAAGTATTTGTGAATATTAAATGCTAAATATCCTGCTAACCAATCATAATTTTATAATCACACAATCACAACAACAGGTTTAGAACAAAAATACAGCTCATTGCAGCAAAACTCTGGACTAAGATTAGCTAGAAACTACCTTTCTACACAGAAATTCATCTGAAAGCAACCAAAGAACCCTCTTCTTCCCCTATGCGAGAATAAATTTATGTGAAGCGATTATTTAGTTGTATTAATAAAATGTGTCGCTGGTGAAATTGGCCGAGGGATTTTTATAAATCTTCTTCCCTTCCGCAGGGCAAAGGGCCTATATAGGATTTTGAAAGACATACCCTTCCGCCCCAGACCCATCAGCGACTCTCCTTCGCCCGCCCAAATGGGAAACCAACCTGACTGTGACAATGTGGGATTTGCACGGCAAACTTGCCAGTGGTTAAAATACCGACTTCATAAATCTGCCGAGGAATAATTTCATACACAACGGCGACTCTGTGGCACACATGGAGTTGCGGAAACTTGTATTGGACCTCCTGCCTGCATTATATCACACAGTGGGACACACACACCGCCGTGGATTTACCTTTATTATTATTATTATTGCATTATTACTCAACATGAGGCGACATTTGAGAGCACATCAGTAGCATACAACCCCAACTAAGACTCGCTGACATTGCTTTATTGTTGCCTTGGGATGTTGTGTGTGTGTTTGCCACTGTGAAAATCGTATTTTCATTAAATTACTAAATAAATCACGCTCATTTTCTTCTCGACTTTGTTGCCGTTTCGAACCCATAACTCTCCTTATCAATTCATTGCCTCACGACTGGACTTTATTGGCGACATTTGCGCCGACAATATCGGTAAGAATTGAGACATTATGGAGATACGAGAGGGAAAAAGGGTGAAAAATGCAACAACTTTGACCATTTAATTAAAGAAATGGTGATTTAATTAAAAAGAGAGAAAAGAATTCACCAACCTTCCTTCTTAATCACCCACTTAAGACAGTGAAATGAACACTGGGTTTCTTCACCCGCGCAATATTAAAAAGCGGGTGGCAAAGAGGCGAAAAAAACCACCCTCGAATTTATCAGCCAGTAACATCTTCATTTCAACAGCCGCGCAGTGGCCAAAAAGTAATTTATTCTCAGTAAATAAAAGGAATCATAAAAGAGATATGCAAGAAATTATGTGTGGTATCTTTTGAGCAATTAACAGCGCGAGGAAATTTCTTCGGGAACAATCTCTGATTAGAGGGTGGTAAATTGTCAGAATTGACCACACAAAAGCAAGATGAACGATGCGCAAAGGGCGAACAAGACATTTGCAAGATGATGCGCCTAATGATGCTCATGATTTTCTCTAATTTTCCTCCATCCATTGCACCCATTTTCTCCCTCCAGTACTTTCAAGTGCTTTAGATAAAAATATAATTGAATTTTCTGTCTCAACATTCGACTGACACACAGCTTGAGTGGCGCGCGAGAGATTAAATGGCAACAGATAAAATGGGAAATCACTTGGAAAGTATCGCATGGCAAAAAACAGTCTTCTTTTCGTGTGGCCTCTAAGAAGATAATTAAAACACAAGAGACGTAATTTTACTTAATTAAATTCCCTTTTGCACCCAATTTTCGGTACGAGTTGCCAAAAGAAAAAAAAACTCTGCGGAATATGAGAAAGACACTGAGAGATTCGCGCTAATTGTTCTGCAAAATGTTGCTAAACTGATAGCTTTTAAGTGCTTCTGGTGTGAAAAACACACCCAATTTTAGCACATGCCATCATTTCTCCCAGTGTTTTTCATCCTGAAAAAAATGCGCGCTCATTGTAGCGAATCAAATAATTTCACCCTCACGCGGATCACTGCCAACCCCACTTCCAATCCCTGCAGAATCTCAGCTTGTTGCCCACACAAAAGAAGCAATAAACACTTTTAATTTCTCGCCTTTCGCGTGTCTTTTTTTTGTGCTGCCCATCGCGCGCCACCCCTTGTCAAGTGTGTCCTCCGCTGTGGAAAGGACATTCTTTTCAAAGGGATGCTTCCACACCGCCCAAGAATCCCAACGCGGAATGGGGAGATTATTGCCAGTGACAAGAAAAAAAGCGAGGCGAGATTCAAGGAAAAAATCCTATATTAAACGTTGTTTATTTCATAATTAGATTTCTCTCCTGCGCGAAGGGTGAGGAAGCAAGGATGACACTGCGAAGAGAAAGAGGGTGCCAGTGAAATGGACCACTTGAAAGAGAAATATTAATATAATCCCCATCTTCTCTTCGTTGTGCTCTCAACATTGCCATCAAATTGTGCCCCAAATCGATTGAGATATCAAATTCCCTTCCACGCTCATTCACGCGTGAGGAGACAAAAAGGCGAACAAGTGAGAAAAGAACTCCGGACAAGTGTTTATTTCCTTCCAACAATCTGTGCTGTTCACCAACATGGACTGACTTTGGCAGCACAGTTTGCTGGGAAAAAAGTGTGCAAAATGCCATCGAGTTGCACCAGAGATAATCCTGAAACTTGTGTTCAATCGCGCTTCGATCATGAGAAAAATTGAATTTACCGGAAAGACATTTTGATGATTGCAATTGATTTCTCGACACTTTGTTAACGCTTTAGTTTGCACAGAGATATGGGGGTTAAATTGGGAAAATTTCTAGGTAAACAACATATCAAGGAAAGAAAGGGTTGCATTTTGATGATCACAATCTTAATAATTGTGGTTAAAAATCTGCAATTAAGCTGTGATTTAAGATGGTGAAAACTTAATAGAACAATACTTTCTCTATTTGAGATATCTTCAGTCAAATGCAATGAAATGACCCTCTTGGAAGCCAGCGAGAGCCAGCAGAATCCTCAGCCAGTGGCAAAGAGGAGAAAAAGAGCGAAATCCCCAACAAGTGTTATGCTGAGAATGAGACTGAGAAAAATATCTACAAGCTTCTGAAACAGAGACACGTTCCAGTTTATTGAATAATCGAACACCTTTTTGTGCCCACCACAACACACATCATCTTGGGGACACTCTGAAACTGTCCCAGGAATTCATCACGCTCCTCAAGATGCACAAAATTCAGAAAAGAGAAGAATTGCAAGAGGCTTTTTTTCTCTCTCTCTCTCTCTCTCTCTTCTCTTCACTTCACTTCAATATTATGTGCCAGGACTATTTCGCCAAAGTCTCATCTTCAGCGCATTCCTTTTCGGGTGCGCATTTCTCATTCTTCTCTTATGCGTTTTGAGGTGAGAAAGACACCTCGCGATGAAGTAACATGAGACATATAATCTCTTGACGGGGAAATAGTGTGAAATAAGATTAAAAGATTGACTAACCTTGTTGGAAGTATCTTTTGGACAGTGAATAAGCATGCGGAAGGCGGTAGAGTGGATGAATTCCATTGTCCAAACGTAAATTAAGTGGTTCTGCCCCGTTTGATGTCTTCGGGGCTGCTGGGAAAATATATCAACAAACAATTAGTTACAGAGCATTGCAGGGGAAAAATCATGAAAGAATCACATGTAATTGCCAATGACACACTCTCTCTCTCTCTCTCTATCGTCTCTCTTTTCCATGGGAATTGAGTCTTCAAAATTGCCGAAGGCAAAAAAGTCTTGTGCCACCAGAGACACAAAAATAATGCCAAACAACATCCACATCTATAAATATTTCATCAATTCCCTCTTTTCGCGCCAATTGCAACAGCCCAGCAGCGAAGCATTGACATTTTTGATAAGAAGAACCCTTTTCGTGTCCCATAAGCAAAAAAAACTACATATATGCGCACCTTCTCGCGTATTCTTCGCGGGAAAAAAAACTCGTCGATAAATTGATTGATGACAGAACTGAAGACTGACGAAGCAGCCACAAAAACTGGTCAACGAGGTTAACAATTCTTGTCAGCGAGATACGTTACCACCATTGATTCCAAATTCAGGAATTTTCCTCTCCGCAGCCCTTCTTGCGCGCCACCAGACAACACTTTGCTGGCCACAACAGAAGCTGGGATATTTTTCACCTCCCCAATTCCATCGCAGCGCTCTTGATGTCTCTATTTAATTGGCTGCAATGTGCGGAAAAAGTGTGCGACCAAGTGATTGAAATTTAATTTATCTGAAAGTTTTCTGCAAAAGTGTGAATTGGTTAAATTGGATGCGCACAGGAAAATTCACAAGTAGAGGGAAAAGGTATCGATCACGCGAGTTTTTTTTCTGTGCCTCCCTCTTTTCTGGGTGTTACATGTCAATTTGCTAAGTGGCAAACAAGTCAATGATGTCACGATAGACAATTTATAGTCAATCGAAGAGGATTCACAAATCACATGCGGAAAATATAAAATTTATTGCCTCGAGAGAGGCTAAAAAGAAATGAAAAGTCAGTTAGAACACGAAGAAAGGTGAAAAATTGGTTTTCGTACAGAATTATAATCAGGTTAATTGAATTGCTTATGAATCAGTAGCTGATGTAAGAAAAATCTTGAGATTTTCTAGACTCATTGCTTTGCCTCACTTCATTCAAGTGAAATTCCAAAGTGAAAAATTCACCAAATCTCATGTTTGGCCAACCAAAAGTAACAAGAAAATTGTTCATTTATTGCAAAAATACAGCGTGGGCACTAATTATAGCTCCACTAGGTATCCAGGGTGTAGGTAGTCTGGGGCAAAAACAAAAAATATCAAATATGGCATTTGATTGCCTATCCATAGCCAAAACAAAACCCCCAATATGAGGCCCCCCCCACCAACAAACACACCCCACAAAAACCACAAACACAACCACAAAAAAAACAAAACAAAACAAAACCCAACCCAAAACCAACCCCCAACCCCGCCTCGGTCCTCCGTGGACCCCACTATTAAGGTCTTTGCCTTGCATAACACGATATTCCAAAATGCTCCTCCGCAATGGGGCGGGGGGCCCAATGCCCATAAACTGCTTCATAGGGCAAGACTGAAGCCTTTTGAGTATAATTGGGCTATCTGACCCCGATTCCATCCTTGAATCCTGGCCTTAAGCACTTCTTCCAGGGTCTTTTTCTGCTTCTTTGGACCCAAACCACCCCAACCCCCGGCACCCCCAATGAATGGGGCGAAAAGTTCTAGACACTTCTAGGAAACCGTGGACCCTAGATCCGGGGATGGGTAGCGCCTGGAGGGAGCGCCACACCGTGAATGAGACCAGTCGAAAACCACCTAAAATTGTATGGTTTTTCATTGAATTTCAACTGGCTCTCGTTCTACGTTAGGGCGCTCCCTCCGAGGCGCTACCCATCCCCGGATCTAGGTCCACGGGTTTCCTAGAAGTGTCCTAAGAATTTTCGCCCCATTTCATTGGGGGTGGCCGGGGGTTGGGGTGGTTTGGGCAGAAGCAGAAAAAGACCCTGGAAGAAGTGCTTAAGGCCAGGATTCAAGGATGGATCGGGGTCAGATAGCCCAATTATCTCAAAAGGCTTCAGTCTTGCCCTATGAAGCAGTTTATGGCATTGGGCCCCCCGCCCCATTGCGGAGGAGCCATTTTGGAATATCGTGTTATGCAAGGCAAAGACTTTAACAGTGGGGTCCACGGAGGACCGAGGCGGGGTATGGCGACGGTAAATGGTTTCTGGGCTCAAAATGAAGGATCCTTATGATTTTCAGAATTTTCCGATTTTTTTTCGCTGAGATATAGTGAAATTTCCCAAGTGGATCTATAATTAGTGCCAGGCCAGAAAGTGATAAAGTTCCCTAGAATCCCTAGGATCCGGCGGAGGGGCCTCATATTGGGGGTTTTGTTTTGGCTATGGATAGGCAATCAAACGCCATATTTGATATTTTTTGTTTTTGCCCCAGACTACCTACACCCTGGATACCTACAGTGGAGCTATAATTAGTGCCCACGCTGTAATAATTTGCAGATATTCTTCTGGGAAATATGATTTTGCAGCACAAATTTCTCCACCCTTTTCTCGTTCACTCTTGCCAAGTTGCAAACTTTTCCACACATATTGATTTCTGCTCGCCTTTCATGTGTTCATCATTACACATGAAAATGAAAATGCTTTTGGGGGATGCAAAATTTCTTTGATATGATATTGAAACAACACGTTTATTGCCCTAGCTGAAGCGCGTGTGTGCGGCAATGATTGCAATATAGCAATTTTTGCCACATGACTTGGCAATTTCCTCATGAAATTCTCTTTCTCTCCTTTTTTTCCTAATTGGACAAAGGATAAACATATCGCATACTTCCGTCTGGTAAATTGTATTTAAAATAGTTTATTGTGTTGCACACCTATGGCTTATTGTATGTTTATTTGTCGCAAGCAAATTTAGATAAATTGGAGAACTTCAGGTGGCCTTTTGCAGATCTCAATAGGTCTGTTTAGCCATCTTTCTCCGCCGCCAATTTTCCTCCATTTGTCTCCCAATGTTAATAAATTCCCGCGCTCTTTCTCTCACTCTTCTCAATGAGCGCAACTCTTTTGGGCTTATAAGACGATCTGCGCGCGCATTTTGCGTGTGTGTCAAAGTGAAAAATTGTGAGTGTCTCTCACCCAAAGAGAAAATCATTCATTGCCTGCATTTGGCTTCTTTGGGCGCGCGATGTGATAAAGGAGGCGCGCATGGACAATAAGAAAAACTGCCGCACACACAAATTTAAATTTTAAATGTTTTAACATGGCAAACTTGCTGTTTTCCATGTTCGATTGTGTTTCGATCGCACCGGACAGAACAAGCCACAGAAGAAGTTGCGGGTTGATATGGACAGAAGGACAGGAACAAGAAGTGAAGTGCAGGGGCTCGTGAACAGTCACATGTGTGTATTTCACGTGTAATTTGCACACAATGCATAATCCTTCGACTTCACAAATACACACCTGGGGATGAATTTCCTTCGCCCATTTCACTGGCAATTCATGCACTCTGAGAAAAGTCGCTTCACGCGATGAAGTTGCATTCAAAATACACAATTGCACACGCGAAATTCAGCTTCTCTATAGGCCAATTTTATAGTTTTCTTCAATATGGCGGCGTTTCTAATGACGTCACAGCATAATGCTGAGCGTAAACTGAGAAAGAGCAATAAAACCCACCTTTTATGTTCAAATTTGACCTGGATATCAAGCTATTCAATTTCAGAAAAAGGTTTTACAATTCAGCGCCACTTTCGGTGGTTGTAGGAACTTCTAATGTTCCGATAAGTAGCAAAACAAAGATCATTAGAATATAATGAAGTCTTCATTTCTAAATTTTAAATTCGCTCACCACAGAGTCAATTGGCCTGTGCTTATTAGCTTGACTCTGTTTCACTAACTTTTTAATCGACCACACAAAGAAGCTGTGATGTGAATCGCAACGCCTAATTGACCACCACTTTTTCAGAGTGCATTTCCTTGTGTGAATTCACATGTTACTTTAAAATTCATCTCACTTTGGATATATTGTTGGTCAGTTGGTAGTCAGTTGCGGTAGCGTATTAAGTATTTGTCTCGCGAGCGAAAAAGTCCAGATATTGTTCTTCTTCGGCGCGAGAGAGAGATCGTTAATCCACCTTGTTGGTCTGTCGCTTTTTCAACTCCATTTTATTGCATATTATAATTCCTTTTATCGGCTGGTGGAGTTGCAAAAAAGGTCTGCGCGGGCACAGGGACAAGATTTACGAACTGTTCAATGAGAAACTGAGCATATTTAATCTCTACACTGCTCACTTTTCCTCTGTTTATCCCTTTCCCCATGTTGTGCGGTTGTTATTCTTTTTTCCGCCACCGGGTTAACTACAATGTGAACATTTTGCAAAATTCACAGGACTTAATTTAATGGTCGATAGCGCGAATGCTGTGCTTTATTTTGTGCGGATACATTATGTTTTTGGAACTCTTTTTGTGCTCACAAATTCAGCCATTTTTTCCTCACTATTACTCTTTCTCCTCCACACACGCATGTTTGACAAAAAGCCAGACAACACACGAGAGGATTTCCAGTGTAGATTTGTTGATGGCAAATGGACGGAAATTTATGTATTTGATGCACTTGCTTGTCCGCGCTGGAAATGCATTTCGCTGATGTGCTGACAAACCCCAATCCCAGGAAAGGAGGTGGATTTTAAGTATGCATCTCTAGTTGAAATCTATCCAAAGGGAGAGCGAAACTCTTGCATAATTTGTGATCTTTTTGAGGTGAAATTACCAAGTTGCAGCTGGTGAATTTTCCATCTTGTGCGATTCATCGGCCAATAAAACATTGCCTTAACAAATTTATTCCAACCCAAAGAGAGTGTCAAGCATGTGCATATTCAATGGAGATTTTTCGTCTGTCGAGAGCGCGCGGATATCAAATGAGGAGCGATGGCGCTTTTGCATATTTGCCTCGACGATTGAATTTATCAATTATGATGATTTTTTGCCACAACTCTTGCAACTCTTTTTTTTTGCTCTTATATATAGATCGCAGCAATGCGATAAGAGGGAAAACTG